TGGGTTAGTGTGCTGGCTACAAGGTCAGTTTTAACTGCAAAGTCAGTGGTCCAAGCTCCCCAGCTACTCCTTGACAACGCTGTACAGGGTAGCTATGGGTCAGAACCAACTCGATGGCACTTAACAATAATAACAATGGAGGAATGTAGTCCTGGTGTGGCACTCTAGGATAGGCAGTGGACTGGTAACCACAAGGTCGGCAGTTCAAACCTAGCAGATGCTCCTCAGAAACCCTATGCAGGGTCTCTGTAAGTCAGGACCGACTCCATGGCACACAGTAATCACAGGGAGGAGTGTCACGTGATCTGCTTTGGTGCTAGGAATTTTCCAGCTGCAGGTGGCGACAGAGAGGCTTCTAGGACCAGAGAGTTGAGGGCTGTTAGGATCCCCGAGGGAAGGCAATGATGAGTTTCTCATATGACCAGTCTTTAGGACCTGACCTGAGGGTCCGAAGCAGCCATTGTCTTATACAGCAAGTCAAAGTTATGAGGAAACAGCATGGTGGGGGCACAGAAGCCACAAGAACAGTGAATTATGTGCAGAGCACAGGGGGTAAGGGACTAGGATCACAAAGGACAGTGGGGTAGACTAGATGGAGGGGGCTATGGCCAATGCCAGACGGTGGAGTGCAGCTACTGACTGGTGGACACATGGGATTTCCCTCCAAGGGTGCCAGCCCTTCATCGGGATTGTCCTTCAACATGATTCTGGGGTTACTCCCCCAAGGCAGGATGACGGGCAGGGGTTTCAGGGAAAGGTCAAGTGGTACCCAGGGCAGGGAGAAGCCTTGGGAGAGACATTTGGCTTAGGCATCACTGGGGAAAGGATTTGAATTAGGACTTAACCAGCTGCCTGGGACTGGTCAGTGTAGGTGAGCTGCAGGAACACCTGGGTCTTGATGTGGCAAGCTCAGAAATAGGGTGAGGCTGGGGACCTCATCAAGCCCACTTGGGCCTAGAGAAGCAGTAGGTTCCATTTGAGCCTAAGCAGGGAGACCACAGTGTGCCCCACATCTGGAGACATGCCCACAGTGTAGAGTGTCATCTGCAAAGGGAACAGCATGACCCCTCCAAGGTCAGCTCTAGAGACAAGGCCTGTGAGCCCCCCGAGCCTCCTGCAGCCCTCTTCCTTCCCTGGAAGAGCCTGTCCAGACCTGGGCAGCCTAGGGTTCACCCCTGTCAGCTGGATCTTAGGGATCCTGCCAGAGACTGGGGGTTGGGCAGAAAGCAGATAGTGGGGGAGGGGGGAGCTCTAGCTGAGGAAGAGAGCACAGATAAACCCTTTCCCAGGACCACCTTGATTTGAATTTCTGAGAGACCAGGTGAGTTAGCCCTTTGCCCTTCCCAGCCCCCACCTCAGGCCAGTTTGCTGGGGAAGGGTAGGAACATCCTGTTGCAGATTGCTCTGGGATCTTGGACAGTGATTTCTCACTCTGGACCATAGTTTCTGGTTCTGT